GCTCATTAGTGCTTTCTTTGGCATGAATGTTTATTGTCAGTCATTTTGCATCAATAATAACCACGAGGCAAGAAGAAAGTCAAGGACAAGCCTCCCCAGTGAGCAAGTCAAGTAACAGGCACATGGCACAAAGCAAGGAAGATTTTGCAAGGCAGGAATGAGAAAAATTTTTATGAATCTCCAGTTTGGCTTTATTATTATAATGCTACTTAAATACATATAAACTCATATACAGCTATAAAGCCAAAACAAATTTCCAACTGAATATAATAAAATTTACAAAACCCATAAAATTCAAATTAGTGGCATTAATTTAATGCTATGAATGATGCTATTGTGCTGAAACTAAATTGCTGATCACAAAACAGAGATGATACACTGCTACAGAGCTTGCCCACCATCTTCGTTTGGAACTGGGGTTGCTCTACTTACAACTTGAACTTTCTAGGGAGCCAGGAAGCAAGTAGGAAAAGGCCTTAGACCTTCTGGAATAAAGGTAGCAAGGACCCCTCGCTCTCTACCTTAATAACATGCATCTTACTCTGACATAGCCCTGACCAGCTTGATTGATTAGTTTTCTAGCCTTTGCAAATAGGTTGGGGTCTAGGGGGTGGGGCACTTCTGCAGGCTCTCTGTTCCCTAATGACCACAGAGAATCTGAGAGTCACAGTGAGGCTGGAAAATTCTGAAAAGCAAATACAGAAACAAGTATTTTAGCAATTAAGAGGAAAAGACACAGAGCTTCGGAGAAAACCACAGTTTGCCTGCACAACACAATAAATAATGGTCATGATAATGACCTTGAGCGATGAATGAAATGTTGAATTAGGTTGAAAATCTCATGTTTAGGAAGACCAGGCAATCTGTCTGACCCTTGTGAGTTTTTGAATTCTGGTCCTTGAATGAGGAAGCAGACTTCATTTAGCTCTAGACCTGTGCATCTGGGGACCCTCCCTCCCAGCAGGGGCGGGGGGAGAAAGAGAGAGAGAGAGGGAGTGTATGTGTTGGAATGAGGGAAGGAGGCTGAATTTTATGACATTCAGGACAAATGGCCTCTTCACACATGATTAACCATGCCCCCCAACATCCCCTGCACTCAAAGCTGCTGATAATTGCCCCCTCATTTCGGGATTTTGAGGCAGCACATCCGACCTTCCGAGCTTTCATCTGCGCACCTCTTCATGCCTCTTCTGACAGATAATTATGGCTGAGTGTGAGCATCAACAGGAAAGCAGACCTCTTATCTTCATGCTGGGCACTTAAATGGGCATTTAAAGCAAATTATTAATAACCGTGCTCAAGAAAATGAGATGAGCAAAAGCGTCTGAGATATTGACATATTGTGACTGTGGAAGAAAAAGGACATTTCTATGACAAATAGGCGAACTTTTATGAAGTAATTAAATATTAATTTATCCAACAAATATTTATTACATACCTTCAATATTCAAAATATCTTATTAGGAACCTCAGGGTACACAAAACCATACATGATTCAGTTCCTAATCTTATGGAATTTGCAACCAGGAGCTTTAAAAAAAGATTTATTGTTTAAAAGACCTGTGCTATAAAGAAGTGTCAAAAATGTAGTTCAATCTTAGCACTTGAGGAGGTGAGCAACGGGGGCGTCTAAGAAGAAAGGACCCCTGAGCTGCCCTTGGAAGGATGGGCGGAGCAGTGATGGGCAGGAGCAGGCAGGGGGGCATGCTCCGTGGACGGGATGGTCTGGACAAAGTTGTGGGGGCGGGAGGCGAGGCAGCCGTCTAGACTCTGAAATACCAATGGAGTAGTAGCTGGAGATGGGCAGAGACAAGACTGGAAAGTGTTTTCAAGTGCCAGGCTACGGAGTTCAGCTTTACTCTTTGGGAAGTGGAGTGACTAACAGAAGTGGTGTGAGGGGGGCCAGTTAGAAAAGATTAGAATGGCCTCCAAGTAGAAGCCCTTTTGCAGGTGAAGCATCTAGAGAGGGGAAGTGGAAACCTTTAGTTTCAGGGAGCTGGGCAAGGCCATCCAGAAAGTCTGGAGGAAGGTAAGCTTCTCTTTTGGTCAGAAAATAGCAGGGCAGAAAATAGCAGTGTTTGATAAGGTTTTATGGGTTACAGTAAGGAAGGGGAACTCAGCCTCCAAGACATTCTCTGTCCCAAAGGGCTCCCCCAACTTCAATGTTTTGACATTAATTGACAAACTCTATCTTATCGGCAGGTTGACATTTTGCGATTTTGAACTGATCCCATAACCATGTGATTTCATAGGATGTGCCTGAATCTCCCCAGAAGGTAACCCATACCTGGCGGTGAGTCCCAAACCTATTGCTAGAGTTAGTCAAGACCCTCCTCAGAAGCTCAGAGTGTACCTGGCAAATAGTATGTTACTATTCTGCACAAACTGCAGAAGTTTGTGACTAAGGTTTCTATGAAAGGCCTAGTTCAGGTCGGACCTTCCTCTATTGGTTTGTTCATTCGGCTGAGTATGCTGAGCCCTGCTGTCTGCAAGGAGCCAGGCCACCTCTGTGGCCATCATCCACAGTGACCTTCCTGTTCTCTGAAATCCTGCTCTTGGGAACACGTGTGGTGCATCCCGGTTTACTTCACTGGCACGTCTATCCTTCCGAAGGCGGACGCAGTGGAGTTCACCTGTTGGGTGAGATCCAGACAAACCACCAGGGAGGAGTGGATTGAGGGTCACCTTCGTGGGGAGCCTGGAGAATAAGTCATCATGTCACTTCTAACTGTGTCGCCATGAAGAAAACAGCACTGCTGGTGCATGAAGGCAGCAACAGCAGCTAGTATGTGCGGTGCTCCATCTGGGTCTGACACTGAGGTCCAACTTCTTGAAAGATAGAGAAACTTGTTTTCATAGGGTCTGTGTAATTTTCCCAGGTTACGCAGATTGTAACCTTGGTTTGAACCCACAACAATTGGGCTCAAAGCTTAGGCCCTTAAGATATGAAGTAGGATTGCATTTGGCTACAGGTAACCACCTGACCACTGTGTCCCAAACGGGTGTGGGGTTCGCTGCCTTTATTTCCAGTGGTTAGCACAGGGCCAGGCACATACTAAATGATGATAAATTAATAACAGTGTGAAATGAACATTAAATCAATTCAATAAATGTTAAATGAATACAGGGGTGAATACTTTCCTTAAGTAATAATTCCACTAATACCTTACATAAATTTTAACAGTTTTGTTGTTAGAGCTCAGTCATGTTTCAGGGGTAACAGAGAAGATCCTCTGCTTCTCTACCTGTGAAAACAGTTCTGTGCAGAGGCCAGGACAGGTTTTCCTAGTCTCGTTGGGCAGAGGAGGAAACTGAGGCACAGGAAGTCTAGATGACTTGTCTGAAGTCCCAGAGTAAGGGCATCACTGTGTAGAATTCAAAAGCCTTTTTTTCTGACTTTGAGGTCAGTATCCCTTCTCCATCACTATGGCTTTTCCTCTAAATAGCAGGGTAGAAGCCAAGGGGTACAGTCTTTCTTTTCTCATTAGCGTTCTTCCCAGGATAGACTGTAGAGATTTTTACCAACGGGTTGTTCTATTAAATGTCATAAACCACCAGCTCCCACCCTTTCCTTCCCATGTGGTCTTCCATCCTGCTTTGGAAAGCATCTGTGAGCCTCATGTTCTGAAAGCAAGAGGAGAAAACATATTAGGTTCTCTAATATGATAATAACATAAAAGAAATATATGGTGCCCCAGAGGGAGAGAATTACAAATGGATGAAAAGTGCCTATGTAATGTAGAGGCCTTTTTTTTGTTGCTGTTAGGATGTAAAAATAAATAGAAGAAAAGAGAGTGCAAATAGAACCTGCAGCAAATGGAAGGCAATGGGCCTGTTTCATCGGCACTTGCACTACAGTGTGATGCCATTTTTAACATTCCCTACTTTGTCATTTTTCAGGTATCCCTGCAGCCTCATGCTTGCTTGCCGGTCTTCAGGAGATTTCTGGAGCTCCCAGTGAACGAGGAGAGCCTTTGGCCAAGTCTTCCCTGTTCCTACTTCTGCGGACCTTGTCCTCACCACCTCCCTCAGGGTTCTTGGTTGTTCCCCAAAGTCAGACCCTGGGCCGGGCAGAGATGGGTGGTGGCTGAGGCCATACTTCCCAGTGTTCTCACCGCCGAGGCCGCCAGGCCAGGACAGCCTGTGTGCTGACTTGGGGCACACTGTGCACAGCCCTGATGAGGAGCAGGGAGGGGCAGGGGAGCTCACCTCCCAGGGAAGCCAGACCTTTGCTGGCACACGGGCTAGGCTCCTCCCTGGGCTCTGGGCTCTGGCACAGCTCTTTTCTATCCCAAACTCCCAGGCAGGTTCCCCTGAAGGAACACCCAGGGCCCTGCACCCTAGAAGCATAGTCCGTGGGGGGCTCTGCCCACCGGCCCCTTACTGCAGGTCTCAGTCTGCCTTGCAGGCTCCAGCCCAGCCCTGCCCAGCGGCTAAGCTACCTGGATGCTCCATGTAGCCCACTGCTGCCCTGAAATCCAGCTGCACTTCCTCCAAGGCTACTGGCCATTCAGGAAGTAAATTCTGTTGTTTCTCCCAAGTCTTACCCCATTCCAGATTTCACTGTTCTTTTTTAGGGGGTGGGGGGTAGTTAAGTTTTATTTATTTATTTTTAGGGAGAAGGAAAGGGAGGGAGAAAGAGAGGGAGAGAAACATCTATTGGTTGCCTCTCATATGTGCCCCAAACAGGGACCGGCCTGTAACCCAGGCACGTGCCCTGACCAGGAATCGACTGGCAACTTTTTGCTTTGCGGGACAATGCCCAACCAACTGGGCCACACCGGTCAGGGAGAGACCTCACTGTTCTTGAAGGGGCCCCTGACCTTCCACCTATAACAATTTCCATCTGGCACAGATGCTCTTTGACTTAATTGCCAGGCATCTTTTCTCCTTTGTCTTCATTCTGCAGCCCTCCCATCCAGCAGGTAGGCTTTGAGTTTTATTCAAGCTTTTCTTTCTGATTCCCGTCCTCTCTTCACTGACCTGTCATTCACACAAACAAGCCAGGCAGCCCATCTCGGTGTGGGCATGAAGGAGACCCCTGGTTTCCTCCAAGACCATGAGGGTTGGGGTTGGGGCTGAAAGAGCCCAGGCAGTGAGGGGGCACAGGGGGCCTGTCTTGTCCTCATCATCCTCCAGCACTACCCTCTTTCCACTGCTCAGGCCTCCCCTGGCCCCACTTGTCTCGGACTCGCCTACCAGCCTGACTGGGCCAGGAGCTTCCTGGCTGGGCCCCACCTCTTCTTGGGCCCATGGCTCCCTTCTGCTCAGGTGGGTGCATACCACCCATGACTGCCCCTTTGCTGTTTCAACCAAATGCTTCATGTGGGCCAGGCTTCTGACTGGGGGGTACATGGCCCAGCCCATAGCACCCAGAGATTGCGCCATAGGGCAGGTGCAGGAGGGCCCCTTCCTGGCCCACGCTTCTGTTGCTGGTTCCTGGGGATGCTGGGAATCAGTCAGCTCTCCGAACATCATGCAAACAGGCAGGGCGTGTGCACAGCCACTGTGTTTCTGGGGTTTGCGCATCGTGGCCTTACCCTCTGCTGCTATCTGGCCAGGACTGAAGTCTGAGTCTCCCTGCCCTGGCCTCACCATGGGGCTTTCTCCTCAGTGTCCTGACAGCCTCTGCGCCCCTTAGTTTCTCAAAATACACCCCAGGGTGCCACACATGTTCACATCAAAAGTACTGATAAGCAAGGGATTCCTTCACGTTCTTAAAGCAGAACTCAGTAACACAATCCCACTTCTGCTGTTTTTGAAAGGCAAGGTCATCATGTGCAAAATTGCAGTTTCTTCTGAGTTTAGATACACTGAGCCAGCCCTCTGAGCTTGGCTGCTCAGGGACGTGTCTCGTGGTATACTCGTGGTCTCTGCACTTTCTAAGCAGAGGTCTGGGAAGTGGGGAGCTTCTCCCAACAGCTGGCAGTGGGCCACTGCCTGGTGGCTCTGTGATAGGCTCTCCTTTCTCAGAGGCCCTATCCTGGGCCCCTTGAATACAACAAAGTCTTAAAAAATGAATGATGTCCAGGAGAGACAAGAGAGAAAAGCTCAGAGACCTCAGAAAGCTCATGCATAAGCTACAAGGCTGAGGCCCCACGGAGCTCCAGGAGCTTGTAGAGGGCAAGATCAGGGAGTCAGGAGCTTCTTGGAGGATGTGAGCAGAGAGCAGAGCCAGCCCTCCACAGCAGGCACAGGTGTGAGGACAGGCGCCTCTGGCCTGTTAAAGCCACGTGGTCAGTTTTCTGTTTTGTGCAACAAATGCAATTTTATTTAACATACGAGGGGGCAGAAGACAAGGCGCTAACTCTTTTTGTCTCCACTGCCATCCACTGATCTTTTTTTTCCCCTCAAGCCTGCAATATTGATGCAATTTGTTCTTTTCCCTCTGCCTCTCTCTCTCCCTCCTCGTGGCAAGTGTCACAGGGTCTGTCGTCCTTTGGATCATCTCATGTCATCTTCTTGCAATGTTTTCCACTGCACCGCTCCCACCCTGCACTTCCTAGCCCCCCTCGTTCTGCTTTATTTTCCTCCCAAGCACTTCTCCCCTCCCATAATACATTTGCTTTTTCATTCGAATCTGGTCTGGCTCCCCTAGAATGTGACTGTTACAAGGACCGGGGTCTTTGTTTGCCTCGGTGCTGCTGTGTCCTCAGTGTCTAGAGGAATGCAGGCTACAGGAGCTGCTGTGGTAACGGTCCCTGAGTGAACCCTTGGATGTGACTAATAAGCAGCCTGGAGGCGGAAGCTGAGGGCTGGTGCGAGGCCGACTGAGGACCCAGGCTCCTTCTTCCTCATGCTCACAAGATGACGTCCATGCAGCACGTCCATATTCAGGGCAGGAAGAAGGTGAAGGCCAGAGGCCAAAATTCATGTGCCTGCTGTTGTCAGTCCCCATTACAACACGAAGAACGGACAGCTTAAATCCGTTGTGGTTAGAGCTGTGTCACAGGCTAACAGCTGTAATGCTGGGACACAGCCACTGGGAACCTATCAGGTTCTGCTGGAGAGGAAGAGGCAGGCGCGAGAAATGGGATGGCAGCCAGCAGTGCCCGCACTGCCCTGTGTCCTCTATTGCTTCCCCACGACTTGCTGTTGTAACTGAACGCAGGTCTGGCTGCCTGCCACTATGAAAACCAATGCTGGAAAGGCAGGCAGGTGCTGACATAAAGGAAAGTGGTTTATTTTCAGGTGCCAGCCACCTGGAAGATGGGGGACTCTTAACTCAGTGCCCATCTCCCTGGGAAGATGGAGGATTCAGGTCTCAAAGCCCATCTCCACGTCTCGTGGAGGAAAGGTTTTCATAATGAGGGAGGAGAGAACAGAACAAAGAGATCAAGGGAAGGGGTTGAAATGTTCTCTCCGTGCAGACTAGCACAATCCATGCTGATGAGGCAAGCGATGGTCCAAGGAGCATCATCCTGCTTTACTCATCCTGGATTCACATCATCTTGACTTTCTGTCATTCCTGCTCCATGGTTGAAGGTCAGCAAATCTCCCAGAGCTGGGATGCCTGAAGGTCGGATTCTGTATCTTTTGAAGTTAGTTCCTAGGATTCTTATACAAACATGCTGTTCATCTATAAGCTACATATTAGTCAGAGTCAGGACTTATGGAGACAATGTCAAAAGAATGATTGGCGGGTTACAATTTCCCAGTACAACTTTCCACTGTTAAAGTGTGGTCCTGGGTAAGAATCACCTGGCTTATGACAGGGGTTTGGGGGATAAAAAACTTACTGCACACACAGATACAAGGGTGAGTGTCTAGGTCATCTGGGAAGAACCCTCATAAATCTTTTTGATCATTTAGGGAGGAGAAGGGATTTTTTTCGTTTCTCTTCAAAACTGTTTCATTTTAAGTTTCTGTGAAATGTGGGCATGATACAGATGTACCTCATTTAATTGTGCTTTGCTGTATTGCAATTCACAGATGTTGCCTGTTTACAAATTGAAGGCAAGATCCTCCACCAGCAAAAAGATTACACCTGGCTTTATTGCAGTGGCTTGGAACCAAACCCACAATATCTCTGAGCTATGCCTGTGTTCTTATCTCTTTCTCCCACTTGGTGACTCTGTGGAATTCTTGTCTTCCTTCTTTCATTGGTAGAAAACCATGTGATCTTCAATTTCTACACTTTCATTTAATGTCTAACCTGTGCTCAAGCTTTCTTGGAAGATGGGTTGAACAAAACTGGTGGGAGCTAGGAGTCAGTCTGGAGGCCCATGATTTCCACGAAGAGCTCAGCCCAAAGGGATTCTGGGGAGAAATTTCAGTAAGTCAACTTTTTAAAATGTTTAAATTCTGGACCTATTTCATTTTATTTTGTAAGAAAAACCAGAAATGACTTACCGAAGAGAATCCACATAAAAAATGATATGTAGGAGTTTTTGAATAAAAATCAGCCGTAAATAAGCAATAAATCCTCCATAGACCCATTAGAAATGGATAGCAATAATGTTGTGTTTACTGCTTCGCTCGCGAAGTGTAGATATTTATTATGATTCAGGGCAATTCATTGTCCTAGTCTAGCATTTATAAAATTCTCATCATAGTATTAGAATAAGAACCCATTTCCTAGGAAGTATTGTTGTAATAAACTGTAATTAGTGGCTTGGAAACAGTCCTAATTCATTTTTTGAAAGAAAAACCATGTGGACAGCTAAGTATTTGTGTGCACCTGAGTTCTCGGAGCATTTCCATCAGGTCTGGCAGGTCACCTGGAGCACAAGGTGCCCCTCACGGATACCACTGTTTTTCCCAGTGTGCCCCAGCGGAAGAACACGCAGTCCCGATGCCAGCCTCCGTTGTTTTACAGTTAGCTGGTTTGGACGCTCAGCAAACGGGGTTCCCCACGCTGGACCCGGACGGCCCACCAGGAAGAGGAAGCAGGGCAGGTGCCCACAGGCCGGGCTCACCTTGACACGGTGTGAGACCTCGGGCTACAACACGGGACCCGGGCGCTGCTTCGACCCCTCGTGTCTTGTGTTGCAGCCGGAGGGACGCAGTCCGCAGCAGAGCCTGCTCCGTCACCCCCGGAACTCGACGCAGCGGGACCACACGCGAAAATCCCGGCCCGGGCGCAAGGTGGGTGCAGTGCCCCAAAGAGAGGCCGCCCAGCCCCTCCTGAGTGCGCGATCTGGCTCGGTGCAGGGTTTCACCGCACCCCTGGTTCGCTTCGGGCAGCTTGTGCCAGCTGCCTGGTGGCGCAGCTTTGATGATGCTCTCTACTCATCCCCTTCCCCCCTGATCAAGTAACTGAAGGTAGCTGCTCCCCAAACATCTCTCCCATTGGAGAGAAAGCCCACCATTAGACCTGCCTTTGTGACAACAAGCTTTGCACTTTTAGACGCTGTCTGTTACAGTGAGTGTTTTCTGCAAGGTCGTAGATTAAATCACTACAGGCATCAGCTGGGTTTCGTTGATTGCATTACTTTACGATGTGACAGGGACTCAGAGGGAAATAAAATCAGATGTGAATTTCAGCAGGGAGGCGGTTCCCACGGAGGACGCTAAAGCTGGAGGTGGAAGGGGTCAAAGGCCAGCTTCCTGCACCATTCCTCAGTCACAGAACTGGGGTGGGAGCTGGAGCCTCGGGGCCCGGGGACAGGTCCCTGCCTTCACAGCCAGGGTCTGCGGCTTGTATTTGTAGAGCGTCGCCCGCTCGGCGGCGTCCTCCTGCCAGGCGCGAATCAACCTGCCCGCCCCACCCCCGCCACCTAAGGTGCAACTCTTCGCACCTGCCCTGAGTGGTTGACTTCGTCCTTTTTCTCCAGCCTGCGGGGTTCACAGGCCTTCGTCTTTTGGAAGGGACTTACTTGTTTTCAATGTAATCAGATTAGCGTTTTTCCGCTATTGGGATGATTTGGAGGGGAGTAGAATACAATCAGATTGATACCGATGTTTAACCAAAACTAATGCTGGTGCGGGGCGCCGCGTTGAGAGGATTGAGATGAATGTTAACCTACAGCTGGTCCTGGAATTCTCAGGCCATTGTCTTTATTTAGGAAAATATCTCACGATGGAAAGGGAGATCCTGGAGCAGTGTTTGGGTGTATATCACCAAATCAATAGAAACATCTAGATTGTTTTTGATTAGAAATGAACAACTTTGGGGTAGAGGAGAACAGAAAAGGGAAAGAGAAGAGTGGGTCAAAATGGCAGGGGTTTTACACAATGTGAAGTTGTTTGTGTTGCTGAAAAAACCTATCCTATCTCCCCTAACATTCACTAAAACTGTTACACCCACAAAGGCCTGCCTGTGTGAATGGGTTCTGCTGCTTTCCTGGTTTTGGTGGAACTTGGTGGAAGGGGCCGCGCTTCTCATTAACAGCCCATAAGAAGTGGCCTTATGATTTGTAAACTGACCTAATTCAGAAGAGATCATGCGGAGAGGTGTGGTGGTTAATTTGATGGGTCATTTCTGCTGGGCTGCAGTGCCCAAATATTTAGTCAAACATTATTATTCTGGATGTTTCTGTGAAGGTGTCCTTTTGAATGAGATTAACATTTAAATGGGTAGACTTTGA